GCCGCGGGGCGCGGCGGGTTGCGTTCCGGCCGCTGGGTCGCGGTGGCCTTGGCGGTGCCCGCTGGGACCGGTTGGAAGGAGAGGCCGGGACAACGGGGGCCGGTGTGGGTGGGGGAGCGCGGGCCGGAGCGGCCGCCCCGGAGGTTGTTGCGGCGCTTGGGTTTGGTGCTCCGGTTGGGTTTGCGGGCCTGCGGGTTGCTGCTGCGCTTCGGCCCCCTGCTGCTGCTCTACCCGCTGAGCCGCCTGTGGCCCGGCCTGGGCGCCCTGTGGCTGCGGCTGCTGCGGAGGGCGGCCGAGGCCGCCGGCCCCACCTGTGTCAAGCTGGGCCAGTGGGCCAGCACCCGGAGGGACCTCTTCTCCGAGGCCTTCTGCGATGAGTTTTCCAAGCTGCACGTCGAGGTGAGCCCACACCCGTGGGGCCACACCGATGACCTCCTGAGGAAGGCCTTTGGTGAGGGCTGGACGGGCATCCTCAAGTTCCAGAGCCGGGAGCCGGTCGGCTCGGGCTGTGTCGCCCAGGTGTATAAAGCCTATGCTGACCTCACGGCTGTCGCCGGCTCCCAGGCCAAGGAGCTAGCGCGACACTCGGAGTTAAGGTCCGCTTTTGAAGCGTGGGAAGTGTCAGGCTTTAGAGGCCTCCTCAGGTGGCTGGGGAGGAGGAGGAGCGAGGAGATGCAGGATGAGAGGAGCAGGGAGGAGCTGAGCCCAGCAGACTGCTCCCGGAGGAGTCCTTTGAGTGGGATGTCCCTTATGGAGCAGATGGCCAAACCGCTCCTGAATGCAAATCCTTCATCAGCCAGACATCTCACGCCTGTAGCCATTAAAGTAAGTCATCTGGCCGGTAGATGTGTGAAAATGGAGCATGCTGGATGAGGCTGATCAGGTTTTAATTCCCATGGAGAGGAGTAGCTGGCTAGGGCCAGGTAGAATGAGAGAAGTGATGCTTGTCTCCATCAGTGTCTTTTCTCAGCACTTTGGTTCCAGCCAGCTGCAATACAGACTTGCGGTGGCCCCAGATCTTCCCAGCCTGGAGAGCTTGAGTATGCATACTGCCTATGGCGCCATTTGACGTGGCATGTGGATACCAGAGATGCCTACAAGGGCCCAGTTTACATTAAAAGAATGAATATTAAGCTTGGTTTCACCTTTCAGACAATGAAACCCTTTCTCTGCTCACATGAAGAAATCTGGAACAGATAAGTTCTTTCCAGCAAAGTTTATTTAAAGAAATCTTATATTCGAGCTGCTCCAAATACTAGTCAGTACTACGTGGCAGGGAGAGGGCGGGAGCGTGAAAGCAGTGGAAAATGGCATTGGGTGAGACTGTAGTCTCCAGCACAGATATATTGCATTTGACAATTATAAAATGTTTCTTTACAACTTAATCCATGGCAAAATGTGAATTCTGAGGATTAGCTGGGGAAGCCGTGTTAGCTCCCAGTCTAATAGGCTGGGTTCTGTCTGTTTGGAATGTATCACTTAAGCTGATTGAAATGGAGTGTTGGGGGAGTTGATCTTGCCACTGTTCATTCTTGTGCAGGTCCTGCACCCTGGACTGGTCCACCAAGTCCAGATGGATCTCTTTCTCATGAAGATGGGTAGCTACATCATTGGACTTCTCCCTGGATTCAAGTGGCTCAGTTTGACAGAGATCGTGGAGGAGTTTGAGAAGCTTATGGTCCAACAGGTGCGTGCTGTGCCATGGTCCCCACTTACTGGAACAAAACTAGCCTTTGTCTTGCTGCTGGCTGGCTCTAATTCTGTTCATACTGCTACTTTTTAAAGGGTTAGATGAAGGCTTGCTTGTTCTTTGCTTACATTCTTTATTCTAATCAGTCACATAATGTTACTGTAGGAAAGCTTATATGCTCACACAGTAAAAAAATCGAAGCGATGAAAAATTATATTAGATTTTAAAATAATTTTTAGACTGAGTATGTTTTCTATTTGAGTATGTTTTCTAGTGAACAGCCTGAACAGCTAGCTAGCCGTAGTCGCAGTCCTTTTTGCAGCATTGTGAAAGACAAACACTGGTGAGAGACCTCTCCTTAGGAAAAGAATCTCTCCAAACAAGTGCTCAGACATGTGTTTTTACTCTTCAATCCTACACATATGTGTGCAGTTTGTACTCGCTGGTCATGTTTGTTAGCACTGAGGTATATATATTGGCATAAGTAATATACTTTTACATAAATTAATAATACATTCTATATTGTAATGTCATCAGATTCATCAGTATTGGTAAAGTTAAGCTTTGCAAATAGATCTGAAAATGTCCTGATTTGCTAGTCTTAAAAAGACACAGTCCTGAAATGTCCTTACTACTAAACTTACAAAGATTTCACTACAGGCTTAATTAGGCTTATGTTTCTATTAAAATGAACTATTATTTGCTAATTTCATTTTTGTGTCTAGATTGCAGAGTCTGAAGTCTGTTACAAGCTTTTGAAAGCCTTAATTCTTTTCTACTGTTGCAAAAAATCTGCACAGTAAATCCATGTTGTAAACTGTTGAGTGTATTCAGATGTGACTCAAGGTCATTAGTACCAGTTTAGTTCAGCAGAGCTTTTGCTCTGAAGAATGAAGATTAGGAGAACATCTGATAACCTTGCTGTAATTTCCTTTCATTTCTCTTTGAAAGAACAAGAAGTATTCATGGGATATTTCCCATTGCCAGATGAGGGAGGTGAGGCAAGGTTATCCTGCCTCCTTGAGCAGCAGCAGTGGGCAGGAGAGATGGTCATGTGTCAAGGCACTGGATCACTGAAGACCTGGGGCCAGGACTTTGCATAGTGGATTATTTTGTACGTGTTACATTAAATTTCTTCCTGCTGTGGCTGCCTATCTGTAAAGTGAGGCTAGGGCTGCAGCTCTTCTACCCTGTCTGCCTGCCTTGCTATTTGGATGGTAAGCTTTGGTTTAGGATCTGTCTTACCCTTGAAAATAATGCAGTCCTGGTCTTTTTTGAGACACCATGCCTATAGTAAGTCACCCGTATTTCAAAGGTGCTGGGTTGTGGGCCATCCGTTAATCAGTCTATTACTCTACTCTTCCATCAAGAAAGCTATAAGCATGTAAGAAGCAGCACTCTTATTTAGTTTTCATTCTGGCTTTCTGACTAGTTTTGTTGGTATTGCACTGTACAGTCATATCCTGATACTGGATCCTGAAGATGTAGTTCTAATTGCATGTAATTTTCAGCCTGCTTTTTCTTTTTCTCCCTTGAGATTGACTTACGCTACGAAGCCAGAAATCTGGAGCGCTTCCGACAAAATTTCCTAGATGTTGATTTTGTGAAGTTTCCAACTCCCCTTTGGCCTTTGGTAACGACAGATGTTCTAGTGGAAACATTTGAGGTAAGAATTGCAGGTTCTGGGAGCGGTGGGAGCGGTGAGAAAGCCCTTAGGAGAACATGCCAAGGAGGTGTTTTTTTGAGAAGGAGTGATGAGAGGCAGAAGGATGCTTTTCTCTTATTTGCTTAAAGAGATTGGTGTCCTTCCTCATTGTCTCTTCCACTCTCTTTGTTTGTAAGCAGTGCATCCCAGAAGACAGGTGGCAGACAACTCCATATAGAAGTGAACACTTGGCCTGAAACCATGCAGACCAGCAGTGTGTCCAGCCACCATGTGCTTGCCTGTGCTTTGCAAACCAACACCGCTTCAGCTCTCCTCTGTGGTGGGTCAAAGCAAGGAGCTCAGCAATCTGATACTTTCTGGTGCTTGCCTCACTTCCCTTGTGGATGTTTGAGTCACAGACCAAAGCTACTCTCAGCCTTAGTTTTTGTGCATGTGATCCTGGCAAGAATATTTTTGCCCCAAGCTGTATCACTACCTTTCCAAAGAACAAACCCTTGCTTCTCTCATGTTCTCCATCGCAGTAGGTACAGCCTCTACTGAGCAGATCCTTTCTAGGGTATTCTTATCACCTTCCCTCACACCCAAGGTGTGGTTGAAGGTGGGACCCAGGGTGTGTTTGACTCCAGCTCCGTCTTTATTTCAGGAGAGTGAGCCTATTTCGCACTACCTGCATGCGGAGATTGCCACAGAGCTGAGGCAGAGACTTGCAAAGATGGGCATGGACATGCTCCTAAAGATGGTAGGCACTTGGCTGAGGCTGGAAGTGAAGGTGGTTTTCCTGCAGAAGCTATTCAGTTGGGGTAATAAGACAATATGGCTAAAGAGAACCTGTTTGCTTCCCATGTCTCCTACCCTTCCTCCCATGGACTCAAAGATACAGCTGTGTCTTTTGGAACAAACCCATGGATGCCAGGTATCTTGCAGTGACCCAGCATTTGGGCCACTAGGGCACTGTGCAATTCTGGAACTGGCAGAGGGAGGGTCTGTACTTCATGTGCAATGTAACACAAGGTCTGAGTAAAGCCTGGACTAGATACACCTCTACTGTAGACTTTGACACGGAGCTGCTTCTACTGCAGAAGGGTGATCTGCTTGCACACAGTAGGGTCATCCTATGCAACTTGATCGGTGCATTGCTTAGGAAACCCACTAATCCATTTAATGAATATTCACATATTGCCCAAGTACTCTAAAGTGCAATGTAATTAGCAAATTATCATGTTCTCTGCAGAGACTATAGATGCAACTCACAGGGAAAACAGCTAGATGGTTTTTTCATTTATTGACTCCTCCTCTGGAACTGCCTTTTTTTAAGGAGGAACTAAATATGGAGTAAAGAAAACAAACCTGGCCAGATTCAGCTTATGATTCAGCTTCTGGCTGTCTAGTTCTTCTGTGGTTGAAATAATCACAAATGATCTGGAAGGGTGTGTTGAGAGGGTGACACAATTGTCTTGTGAGGAGCGATGAGAACTAGCAGGGAAGAGTTGCAAAAGAACCTCACAGTATCAAGTGCGTGGGCAGTAAGCATCAGATGAAATTCAGTTGATAACTGCAACATCATGCTAGGGTGATGGCGAGGCCTGCAGTTCTGACTCCGTGTAGTATGACAGACTAGTAGTAGTATGACAGCTGAAAGAGCTTTTACCACTTAGAAAAGCAGTGGTGGAACTAGAACAGTTTTACGCTAGCATTGGATTCAATGGTTAGGAGCAAAACAAGACCCCCATATTTTAGGAGTAAAAAAGAATTAAAGAGCAAAGAAACAACATTATGGCTGTAACTAAAACAAATACCTGTTTCTTGATACTCTGTGCAGTTCTAGTCCCTCGCTGTCCAGGACCCTCCATTTCAAGGGCTGCAATAGAACTAGAAGAGGTGCAGAGGAAGGCAGCCAGGATGATTACTGGTGTGGAATGGCTTCCATACGGGAGTGGTGAAATAATTTGGACTCTTAACTCTGGAAAGCAGAGAAATGAGTAGCTTATGACAGAGATCATGAGTGTGTGAGAGTCAATATGGATCTATTGTATATGGTTCTCAAAACAGAAGAATGAGAAGGACATAAAATTATCAGAGGTAATTTTTTCAGGCAGCACCTAAAGAAAAATCTCCTTTTTTCACACAGCTCTTAACTATTTACGTGGCAACTGGACAAATTTGTACGAGAAATCCATGAAATACAAAGATAACCTCCTTGGGGCAGGAAGTCCTGCAGTCCCAGGTGGCCAGGAGGTTTAGTGGGGAAGTACTGTCTTGTGCTTGTCTTCTTGCTAGTCCTTTCTGGTGCTAACTGCTAGCAGAGGCAGGGAAGAGCTACATACATTTGTTTCCTCTTCTCTTGTTTTCCTTACTTTTCAATACAGTTATAATGTGCGTTGATGTCCCGGACTAGACAAACTTAACCATTCACTATAACCCATGCCACTGAATGGCAAATGGCCTATTCTTACTGCATTGCTCTTTGCCAAGGCTCACCAGTGTGCCCCCAGTTTAGGGTTCGTTGCCAAAGAGCACTACTGTTCCCTGCTGGAACTCCTGGCTGTCCTACCTGACCTCTAGCAAACACACAGGATTGCTTCACACAGCTCTACTGACTCCCCTAGTGAGTAGCACCCATGCCATTTCAGCACAGCTGGTCTCCAGCAGAAGCTGTTTGCTGTGTTGCTGCCTAGGGTGATGCACATTAGTAATGACAGCAAACAGACCAGAAACAAACCTCTGCTGTTTGCCTGGGAGTTTTGGTTGGAATGAGCCGCTCTAAGACTTGCCTGTCCTCTAGGTCTTTGTTGACAACTTTGTCCATGCTGACCTGCACCCTGGGAACATCCTGGTTCAAGGCCTGGCCCATGTCGGGACCAGCTGCAAGGAGCAGACAGCCATCGTGGACCTGTGTGACACACTCGTGGTGGAAGTGCAGCCGCCTCTCAGGCAGCTCTGCCTGGTGCTGCTGGACGCGGGGATCGTGGCAGAGCTGCAAAGCACTGACATGCAGAACTTCCGGGCGGTTTTCACGGCTGTGGTCCAGGGCCAGGTGAGGCTTTTGTCATGGGGCTGGGGAAGGGAGACAGCTGGACAGTCAGATGGTCAAAGTGATATTTTTCTATTTCCCCTTACAATCCTCCCTAAGAGGGGAGAGGAGCCTTGCTAGTGTGGAAGCTATACCAGACACAGGGATAACATGTTCAGCTACAGCAAGGAGGCTGTCAGAGTCGAATGATTTCAGTGGCTCAGGAAATGGAAGGTGTTAAATGGGAAGCATTGGCTGTCAATCCCTGGCTAGGAGTGCTTCTAATGCAAGTTAGGACTGCTTGGGAGCCACTTGCGTATGAGGCTGTTGCAGAATCTGCCAGGCTTTGATAGGAAAGAGGAGGGAATGGATTAACGTCTTGGTCTTCTGCACATGTTCCCTTCTGCAGCCTTGCTACTGGAAAGCCCATAATGCTACCCTCCATTCTGCTGTTGTGTCGGCGTCTGTAGAGAAGAGGAAGCAAAACAGTTGGGGGTGAGGGGGTTTGGCCTCTGCCAGGCTCCTCTGTATAAGGGGAACTACTTTATCCTCCTTCCCACTTTTTTAAAATACACTCTGAGATGGACTAGAGAATCCAGTGCTGATGTCTCCTGTTCATTCTGAGAACAAGCGTCTGTGTTCATACTTGCCATGTTGCTGTTTCTCAGCTGTGGGTTGGATGGCTCACCAGCGTATCTTAAGAGGGATACATTTTAACTTGGTCTGTTTAATCTTCTGAAGCACAGTGAGGAGTCAGTGCTAAACTGTGTATTCAGGCCCATCCTGTGCTGCCAGACTTCTCAGCTGCTAAGCAAAATCTGCAAACATCTGATTGCAAGTCAAGTCCTTCATGGATCAGGCTGGGTGTAATTTATGATCTATAGGTGGAAAAACTACTACACTGTCTCATTGCTGTACCTTGGGGCTCTGGCTTTGTATGTTGCTGTCAGACATATCTTCCAAGAAGAGCTATAAAGCCTCTTACAAGTGAAGCTTGCATATCGCTCTCTTGCTTTCTCACCAAACATCTGCTAGTGTAGAATCAGCTCTCTTTTCCTCCACAGTTTGCAAATGGAAGGTTGGACTTGGCCCATATGTTAATATAAGCCTTTACACCGTTATGTTCTCTGCTAAGAAGATGATGCCAATCCTGTGGGGTTTATTTTTCCCCCTGAAACTTCTGACTGTCTGAGAGATACCTTTGTTGTGTTCTACCCTACAAGGCCTGCAAGAAAAATAACCAGGGTTTTGCCAGATACCAGCTAAGACTTTTGGACCAGTTCTGCTCTTCTTGTGCACGCTTCTGTTGATTCATTGTGTCTCCATTGCTGGAATGGGAAAGCATGGGCCTGGGAATTCTCCCTGCAGTATGCCTCCTCCAGGGACCTATGCAGCAGAGGCCTTCCAGGCACAAGTGATCAAGTTCCGATTCTCCTTTTCAACTTGTTTCACAGGGGGAGAGAGTGGCAGAACTGATCCTTCATCATGCCCGTGCTAACCAGTGCCAGGATATTGAGAGATTCAAAGCTGAGATGGCAGAACTAGTGACCAAGGTCCGGAGGAACACCATTGCCCTAGGAAAGGCAAGTGCACAAACAATGTCACGTCCTCACTTACCTGTAATTCAGTGCAACTTGGCTTTCAGAATGATTCATGTGGAAAGGCCAGCTCTGATCCCATCAGCACCACCAACCAGTACTGGGCACTTAGGTGCAGCAGAAGTCCATAAAATCCTTTATTTCCTTCTAATTAAAAACCCATGTGTTTGGGGCTTTTTTTTTTGGGTTTTTTTTTTTTTTTTTTTTCCTAAAATCTAACATCTGCAGCTCACTGTGAGGGGTTGCTGAGCCTGATATTACAGCTTGCATCCTGTTAGCTAAGGCCAGCCTGGGCACTTCAGAGAGTGTAGCATGGTGGTGTTGAGCAAATTAGTGCATGTTTTGTACTGCTGTGAGGTTGGACGTTCTCAGCCTTCAGGAGCTGGCAAGTAAGCAGAACTCTGGGTCAGAGCTGAACTCCTTATCCTGGGCAGGGTGGGGGGATCATACCTTGATGTTGGCTGTTGTCAGCCCAATAATCTTGTCCCACCACCAGAACCAAATACTGACCAACGCTTAGAAGAATCCTGCCTGTCACTCGCATGGTTCAGTCTTCTTGACCACAGTTTTCTTGATCAGTTGTTAACTTCTTTTGTATTCCAGCTTCAGGTGGCCAATCTCCTCTCGAATGTCTTTAAACTATTGATGACCCATAAGGTGAGGTCCTGTCACTGTCTGCCTTCAATAGCTGGAAGTTCATTTGGGGAGGGATAACAACTGGGAACATGAAGGCCTGACAAGGAGGGGGACTGTGAATTCTGAAATGAACTGCTAGGAGGGGGATGGCAGGAATGCATCCAAGTGTTGCAGGCACACTGTTTCTCGGGCCTTGATATACACCCTACCAAGACCAATTTCTGTTTTGTTGGATTTTGTCTTAATACTGCATTTAATGGTTGATATTATTTACTAAAAGGAATGTTGCTGTAACACATACTTTTTTTTAAGTAGTCCCTTAGAAGCAGAAAATGAAATCTAATATATGTTCCACGTGTATATCATTGCATGCTTTCTTCCCTGGACCTCTTTCCCGATATGTGGTTATGTAACAGCACGAGGCTGTTTTACTGGTTTGTTACGAGGCCTCAAGAGTGAGAAGCTGCTCACAGAACAGAGATTTCTTCTTATAAGTGATGGTATTTGGGGGACAAGTTTCCATGGTTGCAGACAACTTTGGAAATCAACAGAGCTATGGTGGCCTGAACTAGAGGGGATGAGAAGGTTGTCAGCCACAGGGCTGCCCAGCCTCCAGAGGGTCCCCCTAAACATTCCTTAGAGGTTTTTGTCATTAAGCCTTATTAAGCTGGTTCCTAATAATGTGAAATGTAATTTAGGCCCTTACAAAGCAAGTCCTCCCAACTCCATGAATTCTTAATGCCCTGGTATGCCTTGAAACAATCCTGGTGCCTGGCTGGGAACTGGGGAGTAGTTTGTTCACATGCAGAGCAGAGGATCGTTTCCTATGTGACCTGTGGGGGTCTTCCGTGGCCATTCAGTAGGTGAGCTCCCCCTCACACAAGTGCATGTGTTCAAGTACATTGGATACTACTACTCTCCTAAGCTCCTGCTATTCCAGTATGGAAGAAAAAAAATCCCATTCCCCTTCTTGGAACTGAAAAACAAACTCTTGGGTTCCCTTAGGGCACTTACCCTGAAACTGTTGTCTTCTTTTTGGGCCTGCTGCTGGTTTTCAGTGTGTTCTGAAACTCCAAGTGATGGAGTCACACTATAGTTTCAGATATGTGTATGCTCTTCCCTCTCAGCCTAGCTAGAGCTGGTACCTCTGTGGAATGAGCTCAGAAATTAAAAAAAAAAAAAAAAAGGTCTGCTGAGTTCATTCAGTTGCTTGTGGTTCTAGGTGAAGCTCGAGAGCAATTTTGCTTCCATCATCTTTGCCATCATGGTTCTAGAAGGTCTTGGTCGTTCACTGGACCCTGAACTGGACATCCTAGAGGCAGCTAAACCACTGCTCATCAAAACTGCAGCTTCTGTCCTTGAATAGACTCTTGTGGCTGCTGCCCTCCCACTGTGCAGGGTTACCCGTGCCACTTGTGAGCTGACAGAGAAAGAAGCTGAAGGTGAGAAGTTGCATGTATCTCGGGGAAATGCCATGCAGTGGTTACTCTCCATTAATGTTTCCTTCAGTCGTTTTAGCCAAGGACCAGGCATGGGATGATTAGAAGGTCTCTTCCAGAGACCAGGAAGACTTTGTGCAGTTGGGGAGTTCTGACTCATTACACAGTTCTACAAGCTAATGTGCTCTGGTAGTTTTTAAACTGACATACCATGTAGTTTAGGTGTACAAGATTGCTGCAGCCTGATGAGAAAAGCAGTCTTACTTGTGTAAAAGTCTTTAAAAAGATGTTCATTGATCAAGTCTGTTTTGAAATATATCAGGTTAAATATTTAAATTTAATTTATGACTTACCTGTCACAGTGGTATGAGAAATGGTGTTCTAACACCACCTAAGCAGTTAATTCAGGCTGAAAAAAGCCAATAAACTTTTTTTGTCTTTTGTACTTCTAACATCTACATTTATTGTAGAAGTGTTCTGAGATCCTGCATGGAGGGGTCTGTCCTTAGTCATTTTGGATGATAAAAACAGACAAGTCAATCTCATTTTTCAAACTTCCATACTCTAGCACAATACTGTAGCAGTTTGGATTATAAACAGCAAAAGAAAATATTTGTCTAGGCAGAAAAGCTAATTCCATAATAAAAACAACTTTTTGGAATATTTATGCTGGTCGTTCATTTTTAAGGTACCCTGCTCCCCTAGTCTTACCCTAGTCAATTCCAAACCTTAATTAATATGCAAATGCTTGGGTTTTGTTTCCAGTGGTTGGCAAAACAAGACCACCAAGCATTTTCCTAATGGATGGAAAACACATTGTGAATGTTTAAAATTAAATAAAGCCAGCAAAAGATCCAGATCATATATGGGTTTTACAGTCAGTTATTTTAATAGTAGTATTAGAATTATTTTATGGCTGTATTTAAATAGTGAGAAACACACTCTATGAATTATTGGAAATACTGTAATATTAAATATATTCCCAGATATACTGTACATGAAATTGCCGCAGCATAGGGTGGCTGCAGTGGTCTGTTTTCAGATGGCTAAGCAATGAAGTGGAAGTACATAAGCAGACAATCTGCTGTTTTATGGTGATTATAAAATAATGATTAATGATATATAAATGAAGTCTGAAAAAATAAGTTTAGATTCTGCTCAATATATTTAATGTACTTTCCTTTAATCGTTACATATTCCATTTCCAAATGCTTAAGGATGAAAGCAGTAGCTAAGTTAAATATCTTTGAAGTTTTAGGCTTGTTTCTGTAAGTCTAACTAGACTTAAACTTATAACTAGGTACACTGTTGTCCTAACTAGCACATGATTTTGCATAAAAGAGAACTCAAAAAAGAAGAAAAGCAAGCAACCCTGAAACTTGACACTAAAGAAAATCTCAGTGTGGTGCCAGCACCCATTTTCACTCAGTAGTGTGCATGCCCCCTCCCATTTCCACCCAGCTGGGGCGTAGAGGTGCCAGGCACAGCATCCCACAGCGTATACAGCCTGGGCCAAGTCCGTTGGGCAGGTCTTGGGCACAGCCACCTGTGTTCTTGCTGAGCAAATTTCAGCCAACTTTTCCAGAGGCTAAACAGAGCTTAAACCAAGTGATAGAATTCCACATCTGAAATGCAAAACTGTGTTTCACATGCAGTTTCCATATATGCAGCAAGTTATTTTTTCAGACCTTAATTTAAACAAACAAAATGTCAAAGCCTTCACCTTATATATAGGTTCATCTTTCTTTCCTTTTCCTTTTTTTTTTTTTTTTAAAAAAAAAATCTCTGGATGGTTCATGCATATTATGGAGCCTAAAGTTAAGAATACTCCTTGTAGCTAGTAAGGCCTTAGGATGAGAGACTTAACTTTGTCTTTTGGGGGAAAGCCGAAGGCATAGCCTCTTAGTTATCTCTGGAGGAACACAGTCTGAGACTTATTGCTAAGAAACTGCTGGCCATTCAAAACATTTGGCAGAATTTCAAAGGAGCTCCCTTTTACAAGTTTTCTTTATTTTTTTTTTAGAAGCTGCTGTTATTACTGGTGCTGTGCTCCTCTAAAAGGGGTGAATTTTTATAATACACTTTTTGCTGAGGGATATGCCAGAAAATGTGTAACGTTTCTAAGTGTACACAGAATGTCAGGCAACAACATTGAAATTTTGTATATCTAGTTTGATTCTAGGTATTGCTTAAAACAAGGTATTGCAAATATTATATATATTTGAGCATAATTTTGTGTAAAATAAGAACATCCTTCAATATAGCTCTGGCTGCTGCAGCAAATAAATTGTCCCATGTCCATTCTCTTTTCCTGAATACCCATGTGAAAAGAACAGTTACATTTCTGGCTACCCAAAGCTGATAACAGCATTCTCTGTGACACAGCTGCTGTATTTTTTACCACCTCTGGTGATAAGAGGAAGAGGGACAGCACTTCAGGATGTGACAAGCATAACCTCCTCCTCCCCCTTGTGAATGAAGGCACCTCCACTAATCAGAGTGCAATGCATTAAGAAACTTCTTCTTTCCTTTCCTGTTGCAGAAAAATGTCTCTTGATGTGCCTTACTGTTTCCTTTCAGGGGAGGGGAGGGGAGAAGCCAGTAGCTTGTCCACAGGAGCAGCTGACACCACATGCTTCACTAAGGAAGGTCAGTAATGCACTTCTAGAAAATCAGTGGAGTCATGAGCAAGTTGCATTGTGGACTCCAGGTGGTAACCATGTTTTACTCTACAGCCTGGATAGGGAACTCTTCTCCTCCTATAGCGCTACTGGCTACCTCAGATTCTTACACAATTTGTTAACTGTCAATTTACCAATTCATTTGTTTTTGTAGCCTTCTCCTCATTTATTCATGGTGAACAAAAAGTCTGTTTATTCTGACCAGGCGCCCTACCTGCAAAGATACCCGAGTATCTTTCTGACATAAGATTACCTGCTTTTGGAGACTGATCATAGGCAAAACATAGGCTCACCATTGGGTTTTGTGATTCTCCAAAGCCAGGTATTTCAGAGAACAGACTTTTTTCTCATCACAATGCCTAGAAAGGGTAGCTCGTCACAAAAAAAATTATTTTTTTTGCATTTGGGGCTTCTGTAAGTCATTCCTCCTTTAGGGGAGCAGCCTATGTGTTTCCAAGCAGTATGTACGCCCTGACGGTAGAAGATCTACGCTTACCTGAAGCCCACGCTGGAGGGTTCCAAGCTGTCTTATCAGGTTTTCTGAAGCACCTCTCATGTCACTGGACCTCTGCCCTGCCGCCTACAGCAATTTTGGCAGGAAGCAGCACAACTGTGTCACATGTATGGGGACTTCTTCCCTAGGGACCTCTGCAACTCACGTGCAATGGGACACTTGCAAGAGTCAGTTGTTAATAATGGAAACTGCAGTGGATAATTTACGTTGTATTTTAGCATGTACATTTTCATTGCTGCAGTAGTTTCATTTTTTTTAACATCCAGCTGGTGTCCCGCTCTCCTTCCCCATATTTCATGTATCGTTAACATAGCAAGGTAAGTCATATGACAGCATCACGTAACTACACTTCCTATTTTATGTGATCCTGGAAGTGTGCTGCTCTGGAAGAAACAGAAAGTTCTCAGAATTCAGCAGCAGAAGCCTTTTCAGGCCTGTATTTAATTTCCCTGCAGGTTTGTATTAGCAGGACATAACCTGTGCCTGTGCTTGCACCGCTTCACTTTGACAGAGGTGGACTAGAATAATAACTCCAGAAAGAAAGGCATGTAAAGGATGAAGCAGTGAAAATGCACTCTGGCTGCAATGAAAAAGAGATTAAAGACTTCTCCAGGAATCATAATTCCACTTGTCACAACTGCACTCAAGCACCCAAACTCCAGCACACTGACTCGCACCTACAAGATACAAAGCAGGTCTGTGAACTGCTCAAGGGCCTGCTTACCCACTCTGCAGCTTCCTTACGCTAGGAGTGATGCCCGGAGCATCAAAAGATTCTGTTCTCTCAGGTACTTCTGGAGGTCACAGAGTTTTTGGCCTTCTTTTTCCATCTTCTGGCGTGAACAGTCTCTACTCTGGAACCCTCTGCCTTTGGCAGCCTGGTACTGGTTTTTTTGCTTGTCCTGCTCCCATGATTCTCGTTCCAACACTTCCTGCCGTGACTGCATTCTGCTCCTGAGAAAATCCTACATAAAGACATTTACAATTGTACACTCAGCTTTCATGCTGAATTTCATCCACAATTATCACTGGCAGAAGTCAGAAATGGGTATAATCTATGGAAATTCATTCCTTGCATGCAGAAAGACTCTACCACAGAGATGGAGAATTTTACTTTCCAACTTTCATCTTTATACATGTGTCAAAAAATGTTATCCTTCATTTATTTATCTCAAAATGATATAATGATATTGGATATAAAACAGGCAAAAGACAAATACTCTGGGTGGTGCCACTGCTGGAAACACGGTAGTACAGGAAAAACATTTCTGGAATTGCCCTTACCAGCCTTTCTTTCTCTTGTTCAAATCTCCTTTTGTTGCATTGTGCCTGCAACTCCTTTCTCTGCAAATGCTGTGTCTTTAAGGACTGCAGCCTCTGACTTGCCTTCCTCTTCTCCTCTGGCAAGAAGGATTCCTTCCTGCTCCTCTCTGCCCCAGCAGCCTGGAGCAGTGCCATGTGCTGCAAAGCTCTGTCTTTGTGCTCCAGCTGTTTCTCTAGCCCTTGCAATGTTCTCTGACGCAATTGCTGCCTGTTTCCAAAACAAAATTTCTCAAATTTCTCAGAAAGAAAGAGCAATAAAAGAAGAAGACAGTGCATAAGACACAAAGCAGATACTCAGGCAATCTGTGCTCAGTTAATATTCCAGGACTCTTTGTTAGGTTATGAGGATTAAACCTGTGTCCTAAACAGAGGTGGCAAAAACCCCAAATGGGCTGGTGCCTGATGTCAG